CCGCAAGCGAAAGTTGTGATAAACGTCACTGGGAGAAAACTGGAACAACGAATAAGTACAAAGTGCAGAGAAATAGGGTAAGGAGCCCTGTTTGTAAAGCCCGCCAAGACTTCGAGTGCAAGCGTATAAACTCTGCAAGAGGAAACCCAAAGCTTTGAACTCGTGAGAGTGGTTCCATCCCTTTGTTAAAAACGAATGATTGAGTTACACTCTGCAAGGACGAATAAGACTGAGGATCTAAGGTCTTCTAGCCGGCTTTAACTAACCGCTCAGAAATGCAGAGGACGGGGAGTTCCGAACATTGGAGCCCTCAAACGCCATTTTTATACGAGAACTACCGAAGCCGAAAGAACCGACATCGTCAGGTCCCGATGACATGCGTGGGTTGAATTGTGACATTACGGTTCGCTGGTGAGAAAGCTTAGGAACGCTGTCCGCAACAAGGACGATGGAGCAAATCTACAGACAAACGCCAGTCGACTCGAGCAATGGTGAGATCATTAGCTCCTGCCGTTCAGCGTTACCAAATGCAGCATTCTACAGTTGGACAGAACCAACACTACGCGCCAGAGGATGTGCTATTGGAATTCCATCCCTACCAGAGGTAAAGATTGAGAAAGATCCTGGAGTGTAAATTACAACCTCACCGAAGGCATCGCTCCGCTGCTTGAAAGTAACCAAAATCATGACAAGCTTTCATCTCATGCGACGGGCTTTTACAAATTGCGACGAAGTCTGTACCGAAGAGGCCTTCGGGTCGTTCGTGTAATTACAGAACTTGCCATTCAGGCCTGGAGATCATGGGCCGTCAAAGACGGCAACAGCCCTGAAAAGGTCCAACGGCGGACAACCAAGCTCGTCTTAGGCCAAGGCTACCCGCCTTATGGAGTTCGACCGTCCAACCCGGATCTCTTTCCGCTGGACTACAGACAGCTACGTGATGACCTAGTCCAAGAAAGGATCATGACTGTTGTATTGCATTTGGTGATTTCCGAGCTGGCCAGCACTGGGAAGCTCTGCCTGTGGACGTCATGTCCCCGTCCATGGACACACGTAAAAGGAAGCTTGATCATATGCCACCACGCCATCAGACACTATGAATTTCCCTGCCTGGTATCACTCCGAGAGTTATACTTCACCACATAATACTACGGCTACTAGCTGTGTTTCAGTACCAGTTGTATGTTTTTACAGTTAAAAATCCCGAAGGAATCCTGACTGAAATGTCGGAATCCGTACTATTCGGCCCAATTCAGCAACAAGTCTTGATAGTGTTGAAATCCCGACACCAGGCGAACATTTACACACCAGTACCCACCAGATAGTTACGTGCCTATTGCATGTACTAATTTCTGCACTCTTCACTTCAACTTCCTTTATGCATTGGCACTTTTTGCGATGTTATCGTAACTCATAGGGGTTTCAAAGGCGTTCGCGTACCTTTAGCTTAATAGAATTGAACTTAGCTGGACTGAGCGATGTTTCATGAATGGAGACTTCAGGGTCTTTGAAACCACGATTAGAAATCTTTCGAAATTAACAAAAAACCCTACCTCCTGAGGAATAAAACTGAAACAAAAGGCAACTAGTTAGCAAATGAGTAAAATAACCAGCACTTTTGTGTTCGAACTGAAATGGGCACCGAACATCAA